GTATGTCATCTGTTAAATAACTGTGATTAGCTTTGTGTGTTTCAAATAGTTCTCTAGCCAGACCAAGTGAAATTGTTTAAATAGGAGTCAAAGTCTTCCTGTCTTGAATGCAAAACTAGAACTTTATACTTCAGCTCACAATAAGCTTGAGAAAGCACAGACTCGCACAAAGAACAAGAAAATTTTGGGTATTTAAAATAAAATGAGATAGATGTGCGATGAGCCCTTAGAGAAGGAAATCTTGGACACTTGATCTCAGATCATTTCTATCATACATTAAATACGGTATAGGGTTGGTATGTGGATGAAATTGAAATTTGAACATTATCTCATTATTACACTTATTTAATAAATTATTATTCCTTATTATCATTACATAACACTACTGGAGATATGAAGATGAATTAGATTAGATCCTTTTAAAAAATTATATGTAGCTGTCAAGTGGATATCTGTACTAGAGTTTTATTTCCTTAAGTAATCATTAATATGAGTGGATTTTATTGCACACATTTCCATATCCAGATCGTCCTTCAAAATTTATTCTCAGTGAATACACAGTAAGTCACTGAAATGATTCCAAGTCACTGAGTATTTATTAAGTACCATACATATGACAAAAAGTTAAATGACATGAAGTGGTAACTTATTAAATTACTAGACACCCAGTGTAAACCCCTAAATAATAGACACATTTTAATACAACATAGTTTGAAAACTGTTGTACAGGCTACCATGGATCACAGAGAACAGAACTGCGCCAGAGGAAACTTAGCTAACGCAAGAAATGGAATGAATGTCAAGAACGGTCTGAGCTTAGTCTTTTAGAATAAAGATTATTTTACCACTAATGGAATCAGGAAAAGAGGTTCCGGTGCAGAATCTATTACAATGAGAGTGAGTGGGGGGGAAACTAAGAGAAGTGGAAATATCTCTTGAGGAGAATAACATTTTAAGGCAAAAGTAGGTGTCCAGTGAGAAAAATTCTGGCTTTTGCTATTATGGAGTTCAATGGTCATCACTGGAAACGAAAGACAGAGCAGTGTTAATGGTGAAACCCCACAGAATTTTTTGTAGGACGGATAACCATAGCTGCACGTGAGAAACCTAACCCAAAACTTGAACTCATTAATATAATGAAAATGCTACTTTTCATGCATAAGTGTCTGGCATTGCACACGATCAACCACTCAGAAGTGAAAATGTCAGGCTCCTATAAGGACACGATGTAAATATACATTAACCAAGAGGTATATAGAGTAAAGGAACTGTCCCAAATCCACATCTCCAAATACTCTGAGTGTTATCATTTGCCACCAATTGGCTGTATCATTAGGCCATAGTCACTAATTTTGCTGTATAGTTGTCTTTATCAGTCTGTTCCTGCCCTTTACATTTATTTATTTATTTATTTTAATTTTACACTGGAAACATAATTGACTATACATATTTATGGGGTACACAGTTGACTGTCAATATTTGTGTACAATATGTGATGATCTAATCAGTATTATTAGCATGTTCAGCATTATAGATCATACTCATTCTTTGTGTCCATTACCAAATTTCTCCCTAAACCACCTCCCCCTCCCTCTTTCCCACCTCTATGATGTGGAATAGATCTGTTCTCTCCTTCTGAAAGTTCAACATATTATTGCAGTCCTTCCTTCTTTCCTTCCTTCCTTCCTTCCTTCCTTCCTTCCTTCCTTCCTTCCTTCCTTTGCTTCATTCATTCTTAGCTCCCATTTTTGAGTGAGGACATGTAATATTTTTTTCTTCTGTGTTTGGTTTATTTCACTTAACGTCATATTCTCCAGGTTCATCCATGTTGCTGCAAATGCCTGAATTTCATTCCTTTTTTATGGCTGAATAGTATTCCATTGTGTGTATATATATACCACATTTTCCATATCCAGTGGACATATCAATGGACATTTGGGTTGGGTCCATATCTTGGCTATTGTAAATAGAGCAGTGATGCACATGGAGTTCAGGAATCCCTTCAAAATAGTGACTTCCTTGCCTTTGGGTATATACCCAGAAGTGAGATTGTGGGATCATATGGTACTTCTATATGTAGTTGTTTGAGAAACCTCCATACTGTTTTCCATAATGGATGTACTAATTTACAGTTCCACCAACAGTGTAGGAGGATTCCAATTTCTACACATTCTTGCCAACATTTGTTATTCTTTCTGTTTTTGATAATAGCCAATCTAACTGAGGTGAGATGAAATCTCACTGTGGTTTTGATTTACATTTCCCTGATGATTAGTGATGTTGAGCATTTTATTTTTTCATGTACCTATTGGCCATTTTTATTTCTTCCTTTGAGAAATATCTATTCAGCTCCTTTGCTCATATTTTAGTTGGATTTGTTATTTTTTTTTACTGTTAAATTGTTTGAGGTCCTTGTATATTCTGGATGTTAATCCCTTATTGGATGCATACCTTACAAATATTTTCTCCCATTCTGTAGATTGTTTTTTTTACTCTACTGATAGTTTAATTTGCTGTGCAGAAGCTTTTTAGCTTGATATAAATCAAATTGTTTATTTTTTTTTTCTTTTTTGCTTGTGCTTTTGGGGTCTTAGTTTTACAGTCTTTGACCAGCCCTATGTCCTAAAATCTTTCCCCTATGTTTTCTTGTAGGAGTTTTACAGTTTCAGGTCTTATACTTAAGCCTTTAATCCACTTTGAGTGCAGTTTGGTATATGGCAAGATGCAAGGGTCTAGCTTCATTCACATGAATACCTAGTTTTCCCAGAACCTTTTACTGAAGAGGCTCTCTTTTCCCCAGCATATGTTCTTTGAGCCTTTGTTAAAGTCAGACTATTATGAACAAGTATATGCCCACAAATTTGAAAATCGGGAGGAAATGCATAAATTTTTGGACACATACAACCTACCTAGACTGAATGAAGAAGAAATAGAAAATCTAAACAGACCAATAATGAGTAATGAGATTCAATCAGTAATCAGTAGTCTCACAACAAACAAAAGCCCAGGACCAGATGGCTCCACTGCTTAATTGTACTATACATTTAAAGAATAATTAACACCAATCCTTTTCAAACTGTTCCAAGAAATTGGAACAGAAGCCATTCTTCCATACTCATTGTAGGAGGCCAGTATCACCCTGGGATACCAAAATCAGACAAAGTCACAACAAAAAAAGAAAGCTACAGGCCAATATCCTTGATGAACACTGACACCGATGAAAAAATTCTCATTGATATATTAGCAAACAGCATACAACAGCATACCACAGCATATCAAAAAGACTGTACGCTATGATCGAGTGGGATTCATTTCAGGGATGCAAGGATGCTTCAACACAAGCTAATCAATAAATGTGATGCACCACATCAAAGACAAAAATCATATGACAATCTCATTAGGTGCAGAAAAAGTGTTTGACAAAATTCAGCATCCATTCTGATAAAAACCTTCAACAATTTAGGTATAACAGGAAAGTATCTCAACACAATAAAAGCCAAATATGACAAACCCACTGCCAGCATCATTCTGAATGGGGAAAATCTTAAAGCTTTTCCATTAGGAACAGGAACAAGAGAAGGATTTAAAACTTCTATTCAAGGTTTCTGCAAAAACCATTGCCTTCTACTCTGTAAAAACAATAACATCAAAATCCATTTTCAGAAAAAGTCTAACTTAAACTCGTGCACATTTCATATATATATATATATATATATATGCAAGTAGGCTCATTATCTTGATTATTAGTTCAAGGGAAATGCAAAAATAACAAAACTCTGAACATAAATAATAGAAAAAATATAGTCTCGCTTGCAGAAAATATTGATTTTCCATTGAGCTATGGAAATAAAACTTGCTTTTATAATTATTTTACTTTTATATAAAACGTCTTATTTGTCTACATCAAATATTAGCACAAAACAAGTATGCTAACTGCTAATCATTCCTCATTTACTTATTTTGTTTTCCATCCAAATTTTCCTATTGGGACTCAATTTTATGTTAATAATTCTATTATATGTGTCCTTTCTTTAAGTTGTTAAAATATTTGTTGGAAGACAACATATATATTGCTGCATAAATTAAAACCCACATTCTCCACTTAGCTCTTAATCCATAGTCATTCAGTAAAGAACTTTAGTAATGGTAGTCTTAAAAATAATTCGTTTGATTATAAATGATAGTAAGAATGATTGTGTCATATACATTAGAATTCTAATGCATTAGGCTGAATTTTATATGCTGTGGCATTAATGCCACTTGATTTTTTAAACAGAGGCTGAAATATTAACTTAGTCTTATTTTTTTAAGTGTTTATTAGTGAGAACCAATTAAACTATAAATAAATTCTTCTATTTTTTGTCTTGAATGTTGTCTTATTTCACTTTTGGGTTGCTCTAATAGAATACCTGAGACTGGATAATTGATAAAGAAAAGAGGTTTATTTTTTTCATGCTTTTAGGACAGATGTATCTGGTGCCAACCTCAGGGTGTTTCTACTCATGGTGGAATGCAGCAGGGCAGCCAGAGGGTACAAGATCACATGGCACGAGGCAGCAAGAGAGTGAGAGTGAGGTGCCAGGGTTCTTTAAACAACCATTTCTCACGGGAAATAATAGGTTGAGAACTTACTCACTACCCCACCACCCAGGGAGGGCATTAACCTATTCCCAAGGGTTGCGCCCCGCATGACCCAAATGCCTCCCAAGATTGCCAAGTTGGGGATGAGGTTTTGACATGATCTTTGGGGGAGACAACATATCCAAACTCTGTCATGTGTCATCCGCTAATTAACTTTCATTAGCACTATATATTTCAAATAGTGCTGTAGCCAGAACAAGTGAAATTGTTTAAATAGAAGTCAAAGTTTTCCTGTTTTGAATGAAAAACTAAAACTTTACATTTCAGCACACAATAAACTTAATACAGCACAGACTCTCACCAAGAACAAAGTTTACTAAGAATGACTTTTTATTACTTAAAATTAGACAACTAAGAAATCAAGAAACATTTTTAGAGTAGAAAATCTTGAACATTCTATCTCGAATCTGTTTGGTCTTTACCCCATAAACAATAGGATTGAGAAAAGGTGGGACAAGTAGGTAAAGGTTGGACAGAAGAATATGAATGTAAGATGGAATGTGAAAACCAAACCTGTGAGTAAAAAAGGAGAAGAAACCGAGGATATAAAACTCAAGGAAAACACAAACGTGGGCAATGCAGGTGTTGAAGGCCTTAAGCCTAGCTTCTTTTTGAGGTACACTGAAGATAGTTAAAAATACCCGAATGTAGGAGAGTATGATAAAGATTATGTCGAGTCCAAGTATACTGAAAGCCACAAACAGACCATAGATCTTGTTGATTCGAACATCTTCTGCTGCCAATTTCACGACGGCCATGTGCTCACAGTAGGAATGGGAGATAACAGTGGTCCGGTAGAACTTCAGCCGGCATTTGATAAGGATGAGACATGGAGCTACAAGAAGGGCTGCTCTGAGGGTCACCCCAACCACAATCCAAGTGAGAAATTGGTGGGTAAAAATGGATCCATGCCTCAGCGGGTAACAGATTGCCACATAGCGATCCAGTGCCATGGCCAGCAAAGTACCTGACTCAATACACTGGAATGTGTGGATGAACCACATCTGCAAGAGACAGACATCAAAATATATATTTGGCAGATGAAACCAGAATATTCCTAGCATTTTGGGTAGGATGCAGCTACTGAGAGCAATGTCTGTTGCTCCAAGCATTGCCAGGAAGAAATACATGGGCTCATGGAGACTGCAGTCACTTTTGATGATGACTAGGAGCAGGGAATTCCCCATCAGAGCAATGATGTACATGGCACAGAAAGGAATCCCGATCCAGCACTGCATAACCTCCAAGCCAGGGATTCCAATGAGCATCAGCACCGAGGGCATGAAGACTGTTCCATTGAGCCCGAGCATGTTGCCTTAGAGCGTTCTTGCTTAAGATTCAGATTCAGGCTGACAGTGCCTATTGGGTGTCTCGGTTCTTTTTGTGTTCTGGCCTAGATTAGTACGGTCAGAAATTGAATATGGTTTCCATGAGATTTTTCAGACATACCCATTTACTGATGAGATCCAAGAATTTACAAGGCTTCCTCAGTAGTTTATCTCAAATTTCAATTCTCTTCTCTGTCCGTTTTTTTTATTCTTTCTCTTTATTTTTCTCTCTTTGTCTCACTTTTTGTCTGTCACTATGCCCGTTTATCTCTCCCTGTCACATGCATATGCACACCACACAGACACACCGACACTTGCTAACAGACTTATACACACTCACTTTAGAGAAAAGTCACATTTGTAGTAATCTGAGGACATGTGGTTTGTGTATCATCAGTTAAAATCTATCCCACTCAACACTTGTTTAATTTTCTATGACAATAAGTTAGGGGTGCTTAACTGAGATATTACCCATATCTTCTTATTCGTGTCCTTACCCAGAAGCATTCATTCATTCAGCTAAGAGTTCAGGCAGACTAAAATAAAGAAAATAAAAGGAAGGAATACTTAGTATTTTAGTAGCTATAGCAGTACTGATTAAATAAGAACTTATTAAAAATTCTCCTTAATCTCAAGGAAACAATCGTCTACTGGGGCAATGCCATATTTCAAGTGTCGTTTTAAACTACACATATGGGGCCCATAGATGTTGTATGACAAGATATTTAGTCAGTCTGCCTTTAATAAAGGGGT